TTCCTTCCTTCCTTCCTTCCTTCCCACTCCTGACATTCCTTTTATGAAGATAATTCCTTGCTGTTAGGTGCTGCAACAATAGTCTTTCCCTGAGATGAATTCCCTAAATCAACCCATGGCTACATCAGGAACTGTATCTCCAGGCACACCAGGCAGTCTCCTTCCATGTTGATCATCATTTTAATCACCAAAGCTGAACCACATGCCTCTTGATTCTTGTTCTGTTTTTGAGATAGGGTCTGAGACAGATGGTGTTTGGGGGCTTCTTGTTTGAGACCAAGAAGGGAATATGAGGCAGAAGGAAGCAGAGGGGGGATGCTGTTGAATGATTCACACCTTAAGGGTGTTCCCTAGCACAGAACGTTTCTGCTTCCTCATTCACTTCTTTGCTTTCTTTCGTTTTTGTTACATTTCCAGTTTGATTGTCCTGCAGTCCTGAAGCCTGAGGGCCATGGTCTTAAAATCGCTGCAAAAAGAGCCTAAATGTTTCTTGGGATGCAAGGCTCATAAGCAATGGGGGCAGTGGGAATAAAGGTGGATGTAACCCACACATATGCTGTGTGTCTGTGGGGGGTGGGGCCATTTTAGTAGTATTTGCCCATGTTGGACTGGGTGAGGCCCAACAAACTATCAGACGCACAAGAGGAGTTCAAGGGAAAGCCAAGTCTTGATGACAGGAATGCTCCCTGCACAAGGTGGCAGAGCCGGAGACTGGGTCCACAGCAGACTTTGGAGACCGACCGCAATTTTTTGAATACACGTCAACAATGGCCCCCATCAGTGTGGCCAGAGGGAAGCTGTAGTCCCAGAAAGTAGCTTTTCCAAGCTGTAATCCACATGGGTCTTTGTGGATGTAGGAAACGCTCTGGACTGGATCATAGAACTACCATTAGTTTATTCATATCCCTTTTTGCAATTTAAAAAATAATATTCAAGGCAGGTTTTTCCTCATCCCATGAGAAATGTAAGAATTGGTTTTTGAAATCCATTAAAAGGAATAAGTGAAGATTTGGTAAAACACAGGTGCCCCCTTGAATAATAAAAGGTATAACAGTCAAAACAAAAAGTCTTGCAGGTTTTATTCCGCACAAGCCCACAAATCCCCGTCCGGATTGGTCTTGCCTGTGATTTGCCCTCAAGTCCATTCTGACTTTATGGCAACCCCTTCCAAGGGTTTTTTCCAGGTCAAGGTGCCAAATGAAAACCTGTTAGCTTGTAAAATAGCAGGAGACTTTTGGTGGTTTTCGCTGCAGAAGATGAACCTCCTGGGACATTTCTGACTTTAAAAGAAGATTTCAAATGAAGCATTAAACCCCTGTCTCCCTCTCCCTCTCTCTCCCTCTCCCTCTCCCTCTCCCTCTCTCCTCCCATCTCTCTCACACACACATACACACATGCTTGTTTCTCCTCAAGACTGCACCGAGAATCGCTTACAAAGGCATGCCCTCCATGAGAGGCCATTGTTCGGCCACCGCTGTAGGGCCTTCTGGCTCCCACTCAGCTAAGGTGCCTCCAGGTTTGGGCTCACTGTTTGGTCGTTAAGTCGTGTCCGACTCTTTGTGACCCCATGGACCAGAGCATCCTCCTGTCTTCATTTGAAATCTTCTTCCACGGCCTCCCGGAGTTGGGTCAAAGTCATGTTGGTCGCTTCGATGACCCTGTCCATCCATCTCGTCCACTGTCGTCCCCTTCTCCTCCTCTTGCCTTCACACTTTCAGGTTCAGGCCAAGGACCCCCAATGGCACCCAGAGAGCCCCACCGATCCCTTCTGGACCCGGCAGCTGCTTGGCTATTCCCCGGCCCTCTCGCTCGTCCAGGGCTGCTTCCTTTTGGCAGAGCACGCCACCTCCCGCCACCTGGATGCTCTGTTTGCCTGATTAATGTTCCCATCTTACATCTAAACCGCTCCTCGGGCACACAGGCTCTCAGCTCTGCAGCCGGCGTCCTGCGTCACACAGAACGTGCCCCCGGGTTACTTGTCTGGAAAGCTGTTCTTTAATAGCACGAGGAGCTCCGAGACGATAAAAATAATAAGTAAGGGTTGTCGCCTTAGAGAAACCAGGTGGTGCCATCGCTCAGCCTTATCGTGCAAGAAACATGGAGAACACGGCTGTCTCTGCTTGTGATCCTGCCACCGAGAGGCTTTCCATGCTGCTGGGTTTTCCCGGCAAGCCCCGAGAAATCATCCAAAGCACAGGGACTCAAAAATCGCCCTCTGCCTGAGTCAGGACAGCACCTAAGCAGACACGAAGTTCTTTGCCTGCCTTTCCCTCTGGCTGCCCTTGCCTGCCCTTTGCTTCTTTTCTCCGTTCTACCTTCCATGTTTGACATGCATCCTGTAATCTCTTGGGCGATGCTGCTTCCATTCTTCTGCAAAGCCCTTGCCCGTCTGGACGGCCCTGTGTGATAAATACATCGAATAAACACAACATTGTGGTCATTGTCATCCTTGCTGTCTTTCGTGACCGATGGCAGAGGAGCGTTTCCTACCCTCCTTCACCCGGGTGCCCTCCCAAACAAGCTGCCTTCTGGATCGGGGCCTGCAGAAGCTGCAACCGGGGAAAGGAAGTGAACCGTGTTTCTCCTGCCCTGCCCCTTAGCTCCAGATTCCTTTTTTCTTTGGTGTCATCAGGCTTCTCACCCTGTAAAGCCTCGTGGAAAACCTGGCCAGGGGAAAAGTTCCAGAAGAGATTGGAGGGTGCTACCACTGAAAACGTCCAACTTTCCAGCAGCCATGGACAGCATCGACTGGAGAGAGCCCTCTGGATAAAATGATGATTGATGGGGCAGGTTCCTATGGAAGGAACTGGGGCTTCTGGCAAGGTGTTCTCACCCGGCCTGGCAGTGGTGGAAAGCCGAGAAGATCCATGTTGTTAACCACTCCACTCAGTAGTTCCAGATTTCCTGGAGCAAAATGACAAACCTGAGAGCCAAACCAAACTGGTCAGATCTGTTTGCTCTATAACCAGGAGATCCATAAAAGACCAAACGCTTGATCTTTACAGAGTCTTGGGCTGTTGCATCATGCGGGTTGGCAGCAAAAAGCCTGCTAATAACAACAACAACAAAAATTAAAAGACCAGTCGATCTTAATTAATGACACCCAGTAAATCAGGAGAGAAACTTCCCTTAGTAGAAGTTGTTAGTACTGATGCCATAGCAGTGGAAAGGTGAAAGGGAAGGCTGTCTTCTGCCCCTTTTCATTTTGCTATGCACCAAATGAAGACATGGTGACCCATTTTGCTGCCTGACCTTCCTGGGGGCTAGAAACTTAGTCTGCAAAAGGAAGGCATTCAAAGAGCAATGGCCTCTGCCATCTTCGGCTACCTTTCATGGAATTCTGCAATTTCACATGGCTCTAACTTCACACTGGAGTTTTATAAAACCTCCCTTTTTTAAAAGAGGAGCTACTGTGGTGCTGGAGGAGACTCTTGAGAGTCCCCTGGACTGCAAGGAGAACAAACCTATCCATTCTGAAAGAAATCCACCCTGACTCCTTACTGGAAGGACAGATCCTGAAGCTGAGGCTGCAATCCTTTGGCCACGTCATGAGAATAGAAGACTCCCTGGAAAAGACCCTGATGCTGGGAAAGTATGAAGGCAAGAGGAGGAGAAGGGGACGACAGAGGACAAGATGGGTGGACAGGGTCATCAAAGCGACCAACATGAATTTGACCCAACTCTGGGAGGCAGCAGTGGAGGACAGGAAGGCCTAGCGGGCTGTGGTCCATGGGGTCACAAAGAGTCGGATACAACTAAACAACTAAACAACAACGGTCTGGTCACCTTATCTAACCTCTTTCCTAAAACAATAATAATGCCGCAAAGTAAACACACATCTGTCTGCCCAGGCTGTCAGATGTGTGAAGATTGGTCAGGTTTGGGGCACCGTCTGAATCCAGAAACATAGGTATTTGGGAGAGCCCTTTGGATGCGAAAGCTTGCTGATGCTGCGGAGAAGTGGCTGGGACAGTCTTCCTGTACCATAATTCTGAAATCAGATATCAAAAGAATCCTGTGCTGAAGCCCAGAAACCCAGTCTTCAAACAAAGCAAATAACCTGCTTAAATCCACAGGGGAGAGACGTTCCCCCGGTGACTGTCAGACGCTCTCACGGTCGTCCAAAATGTGCCTCTTCCAGTCACAGATTCTCCGTCACTTCTGTTCCTGAGTTCATAGGGTTATCTGGTGGGACGGACCCTGCCCGTAGGAACTAAACGACTGTGGATCCATGGATGAACCCGGATTTGTATCACATGGGGCACACCTAGGAAAATACTGCGGTCAATGGTATCAAAACCTATGGAGGGATCCAGGAGGAGGAGCACAGGCCACAATCCGGCTGTATTGCTCTGCCAGAGGTATTCCATGACAACAAATCGAGGCTAATCATTTCCAAGCACAAGACCTAAATCTAGATAGGCATGGATCAAGATAACCAGTTTCATCCAAAAACATCTTCAGTGGCTCACCTGTTCTTTCATGGAAACATCTTCAGTGGCTCACCTGTTCTTTTATGGCCTTTCTCTCTCTCCCGCCCCGAGGGACCACACTGCCACCGCCTTGGAGGCAGGAGGGTCCTCCCTGGCGCATGGTGGTAGGTTTCTCCCTCCCCCAGCACACATTCAGTCCCCCGGGCCCAGCTCAAAGAAGGCATAGGTCAAGATACCAGGCGATGGGTTGCACAGATGCAAGAGTTTCGTTGATGAACACAAACAGATCCTACAAAAGATGAGGGGATGCACTGGACAAAACTGGACATGACATGACAGACTAATGTCATTGGGAATGAAAGTGACGTTTGCTTCTGCTGCCCTCAGGCTAAACGTACTGTACATATTTACTGGGGAAGAAGGAGCACGTTTGCTTCTGCTGCCCTCAGGCTAAACATAAATATTTACTCGGGAAGAAGGAGATTTTATGGAACATAAACAGGAAATTGGCTAGATGCGGTTGCTTGCCTCCATGAAATCCATGTGCCTCGTTACATTAACATTTGGATGCATCCCATTGATCCATCGGCTCTGCTCTAGGTGGGGCAATGAGTTGCATTTAGTCCCAAATATTCGAGAAAGGAAACAAATAATAATCAAACGAGCGTTTGTCAACACGTGCACGTCTGGTCAACCGCTGATGACTCATAAAACAATTTTAAAGATAAAGTGGAGAGAAAGATGATGCTGTGGGGAGCCGCTGCAGCCCAACATATGACGCCCAAACCACAGCAGTCACTCATCTGGGGACTTTGTGGCTTCCCCAGGGGTTGCCAGGCAGCGGAAGAGGGGGTGAACGGCAGGGCCTGTAATTTGGAGCAGATGTTTGGCCCAAGCTGCACCTCTGGAGAAACACACAAGGGACATGGAGACACCCGTTTAGGTGAAGAGACTGCGTGGATCTGCTGATACCAAGTACTGGTGAGGTGTGCTTGTTTTGTTGTTTCCTTTTAAAACGGCCACAAACACTCCGTCATCCCCACCGGCATCCCCTCCCTTCCTCTGCGCAATTGGTCTGAGGTGGCTGCCTTGCCTGTCTCTTGTCTTTATCCTCAGCTAAGTGGCAGAACACAAGCATTTGCATTTAAAAGGGAGCCCTGATAGCTTTTCTTTTGTCCAAACCTTGGTTCTCTGTTTCATATCAACTGAAGTGATCTCTCTCTCTCTCTTCCATCAAGCCTTTATGCACAGCCTCAGAGTCCTATTTATTTTTACAAAAGAAACTCACCGATGTCTAATCGGATGCCCGAATGCAGCAGCAGGTTGCACTTGAGGAAAGGGAACCCCAGGGTGGGTAAAGCTGGATTTGGACACGGAAGCCGTGAAGCCACATTCCTTTTGAACCCTTGAAGCCCATGAATGGGCTTCTTGGCAGTTCTGGCACATCGTGGCTAAACTGGGGGTGGGTGGGTTTCAGCTGGATAAAGGTTGGGGAGTTAAGCCCTCAAGAACCGTCCAGCGCTTGCTCCACCTGGCCACTTTTGGATGCTTGTGGCAGCCTAGGCAATCTTAGTCGGGGTCCCGTGCCATTGCAAATGTTCTTCCCTTTGCCGTGTGGCAGAGCCTCCCTTTAAATCTTCCCATAGATCAAGACAACCCGATGGTTCCAAATGCAGAGTCCTCATCTCCAAACGGCTTGGGCCCAAACTGTCTCAAGGAGTACATCTGCCTTTATGAGACTTGTCGTTGTTTAGTCGTTAAGGCATGTCCAACTCGTCGTGACCCCACGGACCAGAGCACGCCAGGCCCTCCTGTCTTCCACGGCCTCCCAGAGTTGGGTCAAATTCATGTTGGTTGCTTCGATGACCCCGTCCTTCCATCTCGTCCTCCGTCATCTCCTTCTCCTCTTGCCTTCACTCTTTCCCAACATCGGGGTCTTTTCCAGGGAATCTTCCGTTCTCATGAGACGGCCAAAGGATTGGAGCCTCAGCTTCAGGATCTGTTCTTCCAGTGAGCACTCTTGGGTTGATTTCCTTCAGAATTTATGAGACTAGCCAGGACCTGGAGCTCCGGCTCACTCAGCAGCAATGGGCGGGCCGGACAGGAGTGACTCGCAGGCCGCACTTTGCCCAGGTCTACTCTAGTGTCTTGGTCTGGTGAGAGCAGTGGTTGTACAACATCTGGAGGGCTGCACGTTGCCCCTCTCCTGTCCTGGAATCATTTCGGTCCCATGGCTTGCCTAGGAAGGCTGGATGTGTCCCCACCGTGGCAACCTGGACAACCAAGCTTGGCCGGGATGGACGGCAAACCTTGGCAGAGAAGGGGCAGCTGGGGAGAAGCTGCCAAACTCGGTTTCTGTCCCTTCTGCTCTTCCAAAGAGAGAGGAGGGTCGCGCTGGTGGATTATTTGCTACCTAGCGAGTCCTCGAAACTAGGTTTACGGGTGCTGGGGACTTTGCGAGGGGTTTCTGAGCGCAGTCCCCAAAGAGTGGCCCATGGAGGGGAAGCACAGGTGTGTGGGGGACGTGGGACACAAAGGTTCATGGATCTGCCCCTTCAGCCTGCCGTTTTCTTTTGAGGGAGAGCAGAGCAAAGAATGCGAATGAGCCTGTCGCGGATGATGCATGGGGTCAGTTTCAGGATAACGGAGCTTGTTTATAATATGGGTGATGCTACAAGGAATCTAGACCTTCAGAGGAGACGGGTGTCGCCTCCCCCTCAGGTGTGGAAGGGACATTACCGAAATGTGGCCAGTCTGGCTGTGCTGGAGGTACACTGGGTGGCCCAAGCAGACGGCGGGGGGGGGGTAGTGGCAGCTCATCCTACACTCCCAAGTCTAATCGAATTCCCAGTTCTGGAAATTGGATCAACAGTGAGGCCATTTGATTTCAGGCAGCGATTTCTGCCACCGTCTTCCAAGCATTTATCCTCATCCTCGTCTCCTCTGCCGAATGGTTACCCCCCCCCGAAAGGCCAGTTGCCTTGGGTGGAGGGTGTGAACTAAGGGAGGGGACTCTCCTTTCCTGCTGCAGTGCCAGCCCCCCAGAGCTGTTCTAAATAGGGTGGAAAACTTGGTAGCACATTCCCAGATTGCAGCACCTTGTAGGTAATGGGGAGGGGGGCTCTTGTTTCTTAGATGCTTCAAGGAAGCTGCCTGCTATACTCTGCCAGGAGAGCCCGTTTGTCCATTTCAACCCCTTTTGTCCAGGTGGCAGCTGCTTTTAGAGCCTCTTTTGCCCACTGTCTGCTCCTTTCTTTAACTGGAGGGGCTGGGACTGAGGATGTGGGACAGGCTGTGTTTGGAGCAAGGGTCTCCTCCCTCCGTCTTCTTCATGGGTGGTAAACCAGTACAGTGGTGCCTCGCTTAACGAGGATAATCCGTTCCAGCGAAATCGCTGTAGAGCGAAATCGTCGCTAAGCGAAATAAAAAATCCCATTGAAACGCATTAAAAACCCGTTTAATGCATTCCAATGGGCTGAAAAACTCACCGTCCAGCGAAGATCCTCCATAGGGGCGGCCATTTTTGTGCTTGTAAAGCGAGGAATCCGTCCAAAAACACAGCGGGCAGCCATTTTATACAGCGGGCAGCCATTTTGAAGCCACCGATCAGCTGTTTTAAAAACGTCGTAATGCAAAGAATCATTTCCCGAAACAGGGAACCAATCATCGCAAAGTGGATTTTGCCTATTAAAACATTGTTTTGCGATCTCAAAAGTGATCGCGAAACAGTCATCGTATAGCAGTTTCGTCATTTAATGAGGCAATCGTTAAGCAAGGCACCACTGTATATAAAGGAAAGTCAATTAGCTCCTGTTGAAGGTATCCATCCGCTTCAACAACAAGAACAACAACAACAACAAAAAAACAACCAAGAGTCTTGTAGCATCTCTAAGGCCAACTTGTTTTTATTTTTCATCAGCTTTTGCAATGAAGTGTGCTTGGATATACAAACTGATTTAAAAAAGTAAAAACCAGCTTGTCTCGAAGATACTATGAGATGCCTGGCTTCTCTTGTCGTACAACAGACTAACATGGCTACTGGTTAGATTACTGTGCAACATTGTGCATTTGCCCACAATGACAATGTCTTAATTCCTTTCCTCAACAAGCAACCTTTGGTTTCCTTGCAATCTGACCGGGCTGTTTCTTCTTTCTGTAATTGCCCGTTATTGCCATGGAGCCTTTGCTTCTGTTATTCACTGTGTTTCTGCATTCCAGGTCAAGTGGCAGAAGGACGACATGGACAATAACTTGAACTTCTTTTCAGTCTCCTCTGATGGACGCATCGTGTCTTGGACGCTGGTTAAGGTAACTCATTCCTCCCAACCTTAACTGCCCTTGAGCAAGGAGAGCCACAGGGAGAGGGGCCTGGTGCTTTTCTATCCTTTGTCTTGTGTTGGATTCCAGTATAAGGTAAACTGCATTGGTGGTCTGGTAGATACCAATGGCACCGTCCTCCATGAGGCTTACCATTTGTAATGGCAAATCTCTCTTTACGCAGACATTCTGTACACATTTATGTATGCTATGTTGAATTTCATTGGGTTGATTCTGTCTTACAGCAATCCTATGAATGAATGATCTCCGAAAGATCCTAACAGTAACAACTCTACTCAGCTCTTGCCCAACCCAAGGCCATTGAGTCAACCCATCTTACGTTAGGACTTCCTCCTTTCTTACTGCCTTTTAAATTAACCAGCATTATTGTCTTTTCTTATGAGCCCTGTCTTCTCATGGTGCTTCCAAACTATGGCAGCCTCAGTGTGATCATTCCCTCTTTCATTTCATCGGGTTGATTCTATCCTACAGCGATCCTATGAATGAATGATCTCCGAAAGATCCTAACAGTAACAACTCTACTCAGCTCTTGCCCAACCCAAGGCCATTGAGTCAACCCATCTTACGTTAGGACTTCCTCCTTTCTTACTGCCTTTTAAATTACCCAGCATTATTGTCTTTTCCTATGAGCTCTGTCTTCTCATGGTGCTTCCAACTATGGTAGCCTCAGTGTGCTCATTCCCTCTTTTAGTGAGAATTTAGGCTTGATTTGCTCTAGGACCTGCTTCCTTGTATTTTTGGCAAACCGTGGTCTCCACATTTAAAATGAACAGTTTCCCAGGCTGGTCCCTCTCTTGGGAGGTGCGTTGGAGAATCAAACTCCCAGCCTCTGGCTCTGCAGTCTGAGGGACAACTCACTAAGCAATCCAGCCAGCTGTTCTCTTATATAAGACCACACTGTGAGGAACACTGATGGGGCTGGGCCAGTTCGTGCAGACCAGCAGGAAGGTGGCTTGCTCACTTAGATCTTGTCCAAAGCTGCGGCTAAAGGCTGGCTTGCAGGATCAGGTACTCGTAAGAACTCTTTCGGTCTCCCACTACCATCACAACTGTGATTTTTAGTTGTATGAGATTTAGTCACAGTAGAGTGGTCGCAAGACCAGATGGGCGGGGTATAAAAAATAATAATAAATAAAAGTAGAGTTCCGTGTTCTTTACTGGAGCGCCATTTTCCTTCCCAATTTTTCTCCTGGTTCCTTGCTGGTTCATCAAGCTTCAGCAGCTTGCCTTTAAGTCCTCCAGGCTGGTCCCCATCTTGGCTGTCCTTCTGCAAGCGGGCAAAGACCTTTCTCTTCAGGCAAGCCTTCCCTCAGTCACCAGCTTACCTGTGTGTGATTTTTAGATAGACTGTTATACATTGCTGCTTTGACTGGATTGTTTAGTGCTACTTGTTTTTCCGTTTCTCAGAGGAGGATGGTATACATATTTGTATATTTATTGTTGTTTGCTTTAATATTGCCTTTTATTGATTGAAGATGCCTCTTTATACTTATTGTCCTTCACTTTAAATATTCTCTTTTAATATTGTAAGCTGACCAGGCTGGCTGTAGCAAATGGGAGATGGAATTCAACAACCTCATAGCTGTCCATAGCAGTGCCAAGTTTTCTTCTTGTGAAGGTTCTCCAGATGGGAATCCAGATTCTGAATGTGGCTGGCTTCAGCTTTCAGAGGTCAGCTGCCCCGCTGGCTGCATTATCAACGGGAAACATGGTGTGCTTTTTGAATCAGTCTTTGACCTCACCCGTCTGGCCAAGGCTTGCTTCCCCCGCCCTTGAGGCGCCTGTGAAAATCCCTTGGACAACTCAGGCTTGCAGCTTTCTGGCTCCACCGCTGAGTCCCAGGGATATCTAATTCACTCTTTGTTCTTCTGTTCTTTTCACCTTCACAAAAGCCTCTCCTCTCCTTTCCAACTCCCTATTGTGTGAAGTCATTCAGATTCTTGGAGCAGGATCCAAAAATAGAGATGGAGGGGTGGGGAGTCCTTTTTATGCAGTCTGTGCTCATCACCTGGGCTTCCTCAAGCATTTCTCATAGGAGGGGAACTGAGAACATAAAGCTGCATTTTCCCATTTCCTTGATGACAAACTTTGAAAGCACAACCACACATCTGGGGAATCAGTTCCTAGGCCTTAGCTCAGCTCGCGGTAGTCCTTATACCCAGCCCATTTGTCTTCTGGCATGGGCATCCAACCCACCCAACCCGAGCTGTCTTCTATAAGAAGAAGAGGAAAGATGGTCCTTTAATGATAATGTCTGTTTTGTGTCTTAATTCTATGATTGTAAGACTTTTAAGGGGGCCACTGGGTACCCAGATGTTCTTGGACTACAACTCCCAGAAGCCTTTCCCACTAGCTGGGCTGGCCATGACTTCTTGGAGTTGTAGTTGAAGAACATCTGGGGACCCAAACTTGGAAGCCCCTCCTCTGGAAGTACGTGAAATTATGCTAGCAAGACACTTCTGGGAGCAAATCTATCTATGATATGTCAGCTGTGTAATACTTTTCTCCTTCTCCTTTTCTCCTGCCAGAGGTTGGATGTCCTCATGGCTATTTTAACTTAGGGCGCTGCATCTCTGAAGAATGATGTTGTCTTGCATCCAACCCAGTTTTCAAAGGTTTTTTTTTTTGTGTGTGTGGCTAAGCCATTCTGCTTCCTGCACTTCTTGTCCCAAATCCTATTTATTTTATCTTAAATTATCAGACTGTAACAATCTGTACTTTTTCTTTCTGTTTACATGACTGAATTTAATAGGTTGCGTGGTTACTGGGGGGAAAAACAGGACTTCAACAGACGCAGAGGTTTTAAAAGGTTGTAAAAACATTCGGGAGGTCTAGGAAAGACCTTGTCCATTTAAGTTCAATGTATTATCTTGTGTGCTGTCAAGTCATTTCCGATTTATGGTGACCTATGAATTAGTGACCTATAACAAGTTATGTTGCCAACACCCCTTGTTCAGCTGTTGCAGAGTGCAGTGGTTCACTTCAGTAAGTCAGCCTATCTCTTATATATATATACTGTAGCATGCAATGTGAGCTTGTTGAAGGCAACAGGAAAAGAGGAAGACCAAATAAGAGATAGGTTGACTTACTAAAGTAAATACAGCCACCCCACTTTTTAAAAACTAAGATATGTGATCCTAAGCATACTTACCCAGAAATAAATCCTAATGGACCTCTGAATCAACATGCAGAGGACTGGGAAGTTAATATTCTAAGTAATTCTGGGTCATTTCATGAGGTTATTTTAAGTCACTTCCTTTCCAAGATTTTTCACTGCCTCAAGTGCCTCCATTGGGAGAGACTTGGGGAATGCAGGTGATATCAGGAGGAGGATGACAAAATGGGTATATCAGTTTCTTCAACTAAACCCCCCTCCCCCAGAAAAACGCGCGCCCTAGGCAGAGGTTAAAGAACCTCTTTTTGCAAGTATGAAAAGGAACAGGAGGGCTTTCCATTCTCAGAAGGTGATTCATCTGACCCCCAGCCCTCCGGCAGAAGAGCAAGGCTCATTTTCCTTTTTGTTTTCCCTAGAGAAAAGTCTGTGCAAAAGCGGCCCTTCGGACCGGCACCAAAGCACAGAGCTGCGAATGACTCGGGGGTGGTGGTGCTTGAAATACGACTGAGTGGAACACGCAGAACCTGATCTCTGGTCTCTTCTCTTTCCAACAGAACGAGCTGGTTCACACCGATGTCATCAAACTGCTGGTGGAAGGAACGACCCTGGAAGGGCCCGAGGGGCTCCAGCTGCAGACCACCGGTACAGCCCCAACTGACTGCTGCATTTTTTAGATTGGGGGCTGGGGGGTGTGTGCTGTCAAGCAAGCATGCATAGAACGGCCTTGGAGGGAGGGGACTCCTCCAGTGGGCACCTTGTACAAGCAGCAGGTGAGGCCTCGCCAGACTGTAAGGGCTTCACCTCTCAGGAGGAAATGAAATCTTGCCTTGGAGTTCTCTCATTGACGTGGCGAGAGACGGCTTCCTCCTAGTCCAAGCCCTACATGAAGGATGCTCCCTAAACTCTGGAAATGAAAGGTCTGGTACCCCAGGGGTCATGTTTTGCTGCCTTGATGAGCAGCATACTGTCTTTTTCCATGTATAAAATGACACTTTTTCCTAAAATAATTAGAAGGACAATTGAGGGTCATTTTATACACGGAAGTAAGGGGGTTTCTCTTTCCTCGGAATAAAGTGGAGGGGGAAAGCAATTCCTACTTTCCCTCTATAGTTTCTTTGCAAAAAGCTGCTTTCCCCTTCCACTTTTGTTGCAAAAAGTGGAGAGGGAAAGCAGCTTTTTGCAACGAAAGTGGAGGAGGAAAGCAGGAATCAGCTTCCCCCTCCTCTTTCTTGCAAAGAAAGAAATTTTGAGTTAAAAAAGGGGTGTGTGTGTGTGTGTGTATCTTATACATGGGGTGTCTTATACATGGAAAAATACGGTATTTAGTATCCCTTTTCCAGAACAGTTTCCTTTAGCGGGGTGCAAATGGACATTGAAGACTTACTGGCAGAAATCCGGTCACTTAGTGTAGTCAAGCACACTAGAACAGGCTCATTGGATCGGTGATGATTTGGCGAGTCATCTCCTCTCAAAGTTCCATTGAGCCAAATGGGCTTACTCTAGTGCAACCTACTGTGTTCAGCAACAGGATTTCAGCCAGGCTGTCTGTGAAATCTGTGTCCTGGAAGTGGCAGTGTTCGGAGGGGCCAGGAATGAGAAACGCAAATGGGAGATGAAATTCAACAACCCCATGCTTGCAAGACGGAATGACTGCCAGCTTTGCCTTCCAACGGCCCCACTCAGCTTTGGCAAAGCCTCTGTTTAGCACAGCTGGATCAAAACGGCTCGGTTTTCTTCCTGGCCTGAAAGCGCAGCTCCTTTTGTTTGACTTTCTGGCAAGACTGTAGTCATTCAGACGTCCGGTGGCCAAACGCAGGGGCGAGTGTTCCCAACCTAGGCAAGTGGCTGTTTCATCTGTGGGAACTTCTTTCGTAAAAGAACACGTCGAATAGTTAGCACGCACACCCTTGGAAAATGGTGCACCAGCAGTGCTTACAAGGAGAAGGCAAACAAGAAACCTGGCTTTGGACCCGGATCTCTGAAAGAGGGCCACTCCCAGTATAAACCTTTTCCGAGCACTAAGATGTCCTGGGGGGGGGGCTCCTGCTCTGCATCCCACCATTGAGAAAAGTCCATTATGTGCAGGTGCAGGGGAGGGCTTTTTCTGCCAACCGTGGCACGCCCTCCCCTTGGAGGCTGGATCGGCACCGACATTGGCATCATTTCCGTGCCAAGTCAAGATGAAAGTATTTATTTAAGCCTTTGGGGGGGGTTGGAGGATCATGGCCTGCGCGGGTTATAGTACAACGGTTTAAATCTTTTGAATGTTTTGCTGCTTGATACTTTTAAATTGTTTCAAATATCTTATGTTTTAAAATTGTTTGTAGCCCGCCATGAGCTCCTGTGATATATATAGTGGGCAATACACATATACACACTGCCGGGAGGCAGTGGAAGACAGGAGGGCCTGGCGTGCTCTAGTCCGTGGGATCACGAAGAGTTGGACACGACTTAACGACTAAACAACAACATACAGATTTAGATAAAAAATAAATGCATAAAAAAGGCAAAGAGGGTTGTTTTGCCTCCACACCTCGTTGCTTGATCTGTACACTCTTGTGCTCTCCAAACAGGCTGTGGGACCTCCTTTGACTTTCACAAGAAGATTGATTACTTGTTTCTCGTGGGCACGGAGGAAGGCAAAATCTACAAGGTAAGGGCCTTCCTGGCTCCGACAATGGGACAAGGGGTATTTCTCACCCCAGAAGCTGCTCTGAAAGTCTGCTGTGTTGCTGTTTGCATGTCACTCTCGCCGGTATGATGTGTAATGCAGTCAGTCTGGTCATTTGGAAGTGTGTACAGATGCTTTGGCAAACATACCCTGGGCAGTATAGAAATGAATGAATGAATGAATGAAACTAACTAACAAACAAACTAACAAACTTAGTTAGTTAGTTAGTTAGTTAGTTAGTTAGTTAGTTAGTTAGTTAGTTAGTTAGTTAGTTAGTTAGACGATGGTAATGTGCTCTGTATGGAGGTCTTGGAACAGCGTCTAGTGTGGCTGAGGAGGCAGCTCCCTGATTTGGCTGGTTTTGGGACTGCCTCTTTGCCTCGGCCTGCTGGAAAAGGGCCTCTTCAAATTGGGAGAGGCCGTGATGCACCGCCTGCCTCCGGGCTGAATGCTCAGAGGTCAGGGTTTCCCATCTGTTGAGGTCCATTCCCTAAGGCCTTCAGATCCCACTTGCAGATATCCTTGTATCACAGCTGATAAAAGTATTTTGGAAGTTTAAACAAATAATGTGTAGAGCCTTTTGACAGCGTAAGTAAAACATGTATACAAGTAAGGAATGCCTGGAATCCTGCTTAGTATGGGCATAATTTGAGGTTACACTCATGTTAACAAATACAATCTGTCCCCTGTCCAGCTCCCCGATTTGGCTGGTTTCAGGACCACCTCTTTCCCTCGGCCTGCTGAACAACTAACTAACTAACTAACTAACTAACTAACTAACTAACTAACTAACTAACTAACTAACTAACTAACTAACTAACTAACTAACTAACTAACTAACTAACTAACTAACTAACTAACTAACTAACTAACTAACTAACTAACTAACTAACTAACTAACTATAAATAAATAAATAAATAAATGGAATGCTGCCATGATACAGTGAAGATGTTTTATTGACTGAGTTTGGGAAGTAACTTTCCCCTCTAGGCTGCAGTGGCTTGTGTATAAAATAAACAATATATTTGCTTATTCTATTTATTTATTAAGCAAATACATAACATCTGCATAAAAAGAACTTTAAAAATGTCAAAGCCACGTAACAACTGAGGCAAGACAGGACCTGGGATCTGAAAGACCAAAATTGCTTCTCTTAAAGGGGCAGGATGGGTCCATCTCATTAGGAAGACCTGTGGACCGCCATCATCTGGTTTGCACCCAAGTGTATTGACCGTGATCCAAAGAGCGATCGACAGACCCCTCTGGGCAGGCCCTTATAACACGGGAGGGCTGGCAACACGCTGCTGTGAGGCTGGGGGCTGAAAGGGCCCTGGACTGATGCAGAGAGCAAGAGGCACAACAGGCTGAGGACAGATGGAAAGAGTTCGGTGTGGCTGGGTGCCTCTACGTTGCTGCCAACTTATGAGAACGATGGTTTCCTGTCATTAACCAACCTGCTCAGGTCCTGCAGGGTCCTCAGAGAGCAACCAGTTCATACATTGATGTCTACACCGCTGGTCCTGGGTGAAGAACCTTTGGGTGCAAGATCCGTTTGGCACAAGGGATGTTTCCAAAACTCATAGCAGCAGGAGGCGGTGTGTGGTCTCTCGGTGATTCTACAAGACGAGCTCAACGTGTTGTCTATTCGTGAAAGCCCAGCTCCATTGCAGGGTTCAACAATACCCAATAAATCAAACGCCTTGTCAAGCCCTTCAAGAAATGAAATATCTCAAACAAAGGAGGCCTGGAATTAGTTTACCAAGCTCTTTCGCCCCACAGAGATTTAAAGACTTACTAAGAGAAAGGAAAATGTGAAGGCAAGAGGAGAAGGGGACGACAGAGGACAAGATGGATGGACAGGGTCACCGAAATGACCAACATGAATTTGACCCGACTCCGGGAGGCAGTGGAAGACAGGAGGGTCTGGTGTGCGTTTAAAAAAACCTCTGGTTTATGAATGAGGGATATTGAGCTTCTGTACCCATGATTCAAAAAGCCAAAAAACGGCCCAGTATTGCTGCAAAATATTGTGCCCACCTTGCCAGTAGGAAAAAAGGAGGCCAAACTTGACACAGCAAAGGGCAGCCTAAATGCTGACAATACCAATAGCAGCAGTTAAGATGGTCTACAGCAGAGGTCCCCAACCCCTGGTCCGCGCCCGGTGCCGGTCCGTGGCCTGAGCCAGACCTGGCCGCGGAGAGAGACCTCCCCCCCACCCCCACACACTTCCCCTACACACATAGCCTGCACAAGCACTGTGCCGCCCTTTGCACATGCGCACAAGTGCACACGCTCCTTCGTGTATGCGCATGAGTGCAGGGTGTGCCCTGCCTCCCCCAGCCGGTCCGCGGGGCTAAAACGGTTGTCGACCGCTAGTCTACAGGATACCCTCTTCGGCTTAACGGCTATCACAAAGTGACACCACTTAAGGGAAAACCCCAGAAACGGACTCCTTTTTTTCCATCAATTAATCACTTCTCATCCAAACACAAAGCAATGGTCAGGGCTGTTTTTCAACAAATGTCTCTAAAGGGGGATGGGGGTAAAATGGCTTTATTTTAAAAAAAAATCATAACTCAGAGCCGCTTTGCCCAAACCTTCCCAAATTTGGCACAGAGCAAGAGCAGACGGTCTGCTACAGCGGTGCCAAAGACAGTGCTGTTCTGAGGTCCACATTCAAAGTCATAATTTTTTGTTTGGGGCACCCTTATTTTCTGACTTGGCTTATGGAACACCATCCTGCTGTCGCACAGTATCTCCTGCAGCATGCTTGTGCAGCAATAAATATTCTTGCCATTTCAACAGAGTTGCAATGTCTCCTTCCCCAGTGGGAAAGACAATGATCCAGGTGCCCTGTCTTTGCCGTCCAGGGGCTCCTGGCGGTTTGGCTGCCCTTGTTCCAAGGCTCCTTCCTTTGACTCCTCTATCTTTAAATCAGGTGTGGGCTTTTCAAAAGCAAAACTATTGTCCCCCCCCAAAAAATACGTGGCCAGTCCCACCACGGGCCAAGCAGACACCAAGGCACCCAGACACACTGCCCACAGTGAGCTGGGTGGTTTGGTGAGGTGGCCATCCGAAAAAGCAACTTTCTGTTGAAATGGCAAGAATATTTATTGCTGCACAAGCATGCTGCAGGAGATACTGTGCGACAGCAGGATGGTGTTCCATAAGCCAAGTCAGAAAATAAGGGTGCCCCAAACAAAAAATTATGACTTTGAATGTGGACCTCAGAACAGCACTGTCTTTGGCACCGCTGTAGCAGACCGTCTGCTCTTGCTCTGTGCCAAATTTGGGAAGGTTTGGGCAAAGCGGTTCTGAGTTATGATTTTTTTTAAAAAAATAAAGCCATTTTACCCCCATCCCCCTTTAGAGACATTTGTTGAAAAACAGCCCTGACCATTGCTTTGTGTTTGGATGAGAAGTGATTAATTGATGGAAAAAAAGGAGTCCGTTTCTGGGGTTTTCCCTTAAGTGATGTCACTTTGTGAATAGCCGTTAAGCCGAAGAGGGTATCCTGTAGACTAGCGGTCGACAACCGTTTTAGCCCCGCGGACCGGCTGGGGGAGGCAGGGCACACCCTGCACTCATGCGCATACACGAAGGAGCGTGTGCACTTGTGCGCATGTGCAAAGGGCGGCACAGTGCTTGTGCAGGCTATGTGTGTAGGGGAAGTGTGTGGGGGTGGGGGGGAGGTCTCTCTCCGCGGCCAGGTCTGGCTCAGGCCACGGACCGGCACCGGGCGCGGACCAGGGGTTGGGGACCTCTGCTGTAGACCATCTTAACTGCTGCTATTGGTATTGTCAGCATTTAGGCTGCCCTTTGCTGTGTCCAGTTTGGCCTCCTTTTTTCCTGCTGGCAATGTGGGCACAATATTGTGCAGCAATACTGGGCCGTTTTTTGGCTTTTTGAATCATGGGTGCAGATGCTCAATATCCCACATTCATAAACCAGAGGGTGGTTTTTTTTTTTAATAGAATTTCTAAATTTGCATTTGTGCATGTAAATTAATAATGAATCATTTTCTGCTGTCCTGTCAATTCTGAGCTTTGGTGACCTTTTCCAGAGTTTCCTAGGTATAGAGTACTCAGACGTGGTTTACCTTTCTCTTCTTCAGAGGGGGGGTTTCTCTGGCCCTAAAGAGTCGAAACACATCCTTGACCAAGTCAAACATCTTCCATCTCCTGTTAAGCTGCCCATGACCTGCCTGTGCATCTCTTTCCCGCTTGAAAGGAAAGTGGAGGAAGGAAAAAAAAAACGTTCTTGTTTCAAGGCATCATCGAGTATGATGGAGTGTTGTCACTTCATCGATGCACTTACCTCCAGGGCCAGGAGCTCAGTCTCTCAGGAGGATGTCCGCTACAGCTGGACATTTGTAAACTTTCAGGAACACTAGAACGGCCAGTACATCCAGGCAGGCCCATGCGTCATCAGAACCACAATGATTTCACTGGGAAAATGTGTTTTCTTTTTATCAAGGATCTAATCATGTTGCTTTTCTGGCCGAGAGCTGCCGCTGGAAAGAGTGCCCTTTTAAAGATCTGGGGTTCATCCAGCACTTGCGGTTGTCTTGGTATCCAGATATTAGGTTTGAATCTCTGTGATCCTTCAGCTGCCGCTCAGAACGTCTGTGGCCAAATGATTCAGTTTCATTCATTTAAGGCTTGTTGTTGCAGATCTTTTATAACAAGAAATTAGTTTCAGAGGGGCGGGGGCCCTTTGTACGAGCTAGTGACCATTGTCATCTCCACTGGAATTTATTTATGCTGGCATGAGTGTGTAATGTGCTCTGCAAGTGAGCGATCATGTCCATTTGTGCGACTAAATTCTAAAATTAAATCCAGACAAACACTGTGTTACTCTGCTATTGTAAGAACAACAAAAGGGTTGAGTGGTGCCTTAATTAGTGGTAACTTAAGTGCACATGGCTCTAATTCAAGAACCATTGAGAGAAAAGGAGGAATTTATACTATGCAGGTGACAAATTACACATTACAGGGATTAGAGATTTGAAGGTGACATTTGTCGGTGTTCCACCAAAGTGATTCACCAAGATATTCATGGCTGAACCATCATCCATATAAATGAAGCCCACCTTTCTCTCTGGGTGGCTAATCACAGAAGAGAGCAAGATAACCTGCAGACTGTGGGAGGTGTGGAATGACAGTCAGACATGCTCAGCACTGGAGGGCGGGAGGAAGAGAACCACCAATAGAGAACCACCAAACTAGCCTCTTCCATTGGGGAAGGATAGGCTTAGGGTTAGGGTAATGATTTTAGGAAATCATGAAAAACTCTGTTGTTCCAGCAGGCTTTTCAAAATAAGCTGGCTGTGGAGACCAATGAATCTGTTAGCTTCTAACCACTGTCTAGTTTTAAACATATTGGTTATTTTATTTTATTTTTAATAAATATGTTTATTGTATTTTTTTCTACTTTTCTGTCCGTTGCAACCAGAGTGATTTATTACAATATGTTCCATTCATTTCACCTTGTCTTATACTCTTTAACATAATATTAATCTAATCTATTCTCCTTAAATCAGTGCAGATTTCATCCAGGTATAAAGAGGTTCCCATTTATTATTATCCAGTCTGTCATTCAGCGTATCTGTCAAAATGTCCATTACTGCTAGTTCCAAAATCTTCTCCATAAATTGCTTCTTTGTTGGCACCTTTGCAGTCTTCCACTTACTGGCACAGACAATTCTAGCTGCCGTTATCAGGTGTAAGGTCAAGTAAGTCTTGTTTTTTTCGAGTGTAGCTGGTAATATATTCAATAAGATGATTTCTGGTGTCAAAGCAATTTTAACCCCTAAAATTTTCTCTATCATTTCATGAATCATTTTCCAAAAGTCCTTGGCCCTACTGCATATGATAGAAGCTCCCTACTTTCTTTTCACATTTCCAACACTTATGAAAAACATTTTTATATATTTGTGTTAATTTCTCTGATGTTACATAGCATCTGTAAAACATTTTTGTATCTATTTTCTTTTAGATTTATAGATTTAGGCATTTTAATATTTCATCCCCAAATTTGTGACCAGGCACTTATGTAGTTCTATATTATGACATATATTTTGACTCATTTTACCATGCAATCCTTCACAATTTCATATTCCATTTTTTGCTCCATTGAAGTATTATATAAACCTAATCAATTTTCCTCTTGAGTCTAGCAACCCCTTATCCAAAGATATTTTGTCTTTCTGAAACCCTGTAGCTTTATCTTTTACATATCTGGATTTCAACAAGTTTATCAACCACTAATCTAGGATAATACCTTGTTCTGCTAGTTCATCTTTAGATTAAAATTACTATCTAATATCTCGGCATATATCCCGTTTCTCCCTGATAAAATTCATGAAAAATCTTTCTTTATCTTTCTTTATGTTACAGCTCTTACCTGTTCTATCTTTAATTATTCAATTTGTGTTTTTTAATCTTCTATTTTTACACATTCTAGCTAATAATTTTGAATTTTTGTTGCTAGATTTAAAAAAATACCTCTTTATATACATCAAACCCCTCTGGACTTTCTCTATTTCTACATTTTCTAGTTCCTTTCTCTTAGCCTGAATTTCTACCAATATCCTTCTATCTCTTTCTAAAAATAATCTGCTTTCCAAATTTTTCAAGTCTTCCATTTTTTGACATGATGATGCTAGAACCTGGGGCATTCCGGTGAGTGGTTGGAGATACAGGATTAGGGTTATAAAGTCTGTATTTGATTCATTCTAATGTGGTAAATGTATCACAGTGAGGTTTTGGAATAACCTGAAAAATTTTGAAAGAGATTGTGCACATTTTAAGACTATCTTTTGTACATTTCTATAAATTTACAAAACTTAAAACAAGGATGGATTTTGCCTTGTTGCATGTGTTGGGGTCACAGGCTGACCCCTTTTAGCTAATCAAGGTATCCTTGTTTAAATTGCGGGATAATTGGTTGTAATAGCTGGTTCTATTGTGACTATGGGCCCGATTCCACTGCCAGAATAAACCAGAGGAAGGATCGTTTCTTTTTGATTCAGGCTAAAGCTCCCGCCAACCTAGCGGTTCGAAAGCATGCAAATGCGAGTAGATAAATAGGGACCACCTCGGTGGGAAGGTAACAGCGTTCCGTGTCTAAGTCGCACTGGCCATGTGACCACGGAAGATTGTCTTCGGACAAAACGCTGGCTCTATGGCTTGAAGAGCGGGATGAGCGCCGCCCCCTAGAGTCGAACACGACTGGACAAAATTGTCAAGGGGAACCTTTACCTTTACCTTTACTAATTTGTTACCAAGCTTCTTGACAAAAGAAATTATGTCTGTGGCTGAAAATGGGCAGTTAAAAAACAGCTCTGCTCTAAAAATACTTCCATTAAGCCTAATTTCTCCGAATCTGTTTCAGAATGGCAGGTCTGAGCATCAGGAAATTGCAGTGGTGAGCAGGGTTCCATACTGTGCAGCAAAGAGAGGGAAGGCTGGGATCATGCGCTCAGGAAAAGCTCCTGCCAGGCAACAGACAGAGAGGGATTGGCCTCTGGGGGCTGCTCGTGAGAGGGAAGCCGACGTCCTCAGCTCCGAAGCTGCACGGCGGTGGCTGTCCGTGATCCTCATCCACCCCTTGTCTCTTTGCAGTGTTCCAAGTCCTATTCGAGCCAGTTCCTGGACATCTTCCATGCGCACCACATGGCTGTCGATGCCGTCAGCTGGAACCCCTTCCACAGCAAAGTCTTCATTTCCTGCAGCTCCGACTGGACAGTGAAGATCTGGGACCACACGATCAAGTAGGTCTGGCCCTGACCTGCACGTGGCCACTCAGTCCTCTCCTTCTACCGGGGGATGGAAAGCAGGTGGCGCCCCTACTCACGTGGCCACACGCCTGCTTTGCTACACTAGTGGGAGGGGGGATGTCAACCTTATGCAACCCAAGCAGAAGGATGGAGGGCCAGTTTTTGTAGGGGAGCCAGAGGGTTGCCCCCCCACAACCCCTCGTGATGGATGCTGGCTGGGACAGGTAAATGAACACACCTCACTGGGGCACGATAGGGAACTGGTTCCGGGCTGGGTCTCTCAGGTCACAAGCTGTAATCACTTTGAGGAGCACAAGGCCTCAGAACAGCTCTGATGGTCCAAGTCCATCCTTGTCTTGGAGTGCTTTACAGTTGATGCTCCTGCATCCTGGCCTCGATGGCCTTTAGAAGTGAAAGGAGACAGGAGAAGGACCCTGGCAAGCTGCTGCGGAAGGTTTGGTCTCGCTGGGCATTGCTCAGGCGCTCCTGCTGGGCTGAACGTGCCAGTTTATGGCGGGGAGTTTCTGCTGTGTTTGAGTCCACAGTTACTTCTTCCTTAAACCTCCTGCCGGCCCTGATTTCCCCAACACTCACCCTGCTTTCTATTTGCCTGCCTGCCTGAGTGTCTCTGGATTGGCTCCTGCCCTCATGCGAAGCTGGCTGTGTCCCAGTCTTCTGAAAAATGCCACTGCTGTCCCCTGACCCCCCTGAGTATTTTCTCGCAGGACCCCCATGTTCATCTACGACCTGAATGCGGCGGTTGGCGACGTGGCCTGGGCTCCTTATTCCTCCACCGTCTTCGCTGCTGTTACCACCGATGGAAAGGTAAGGTGCTGGAAGCGCCTTCTCCCAAAGAATCCCCCGGGGAAAAGCAGAAGGAGGAAAAGGGGATCTCCTAATAGCGAGGGAGAGGAGATGAGCTGGCATTCATTTCTGCGGCACGGGACAGAATGATGTCCCCGATGGATCCCTTTGCCCAGACTTAAAGGGATCCGTCTGCTCCCGAACGGTGCCTTCCATGCCCAGCAGTGACTGACACCCTGTGCAGGGCGGAATCCGTGCAGGGAGCACAAGGGTTTCTTTTAGGGCACTGGTTCCCCTCCTTGGGTCACCCGGGTGTTCTTGGACCACAGTTCCCAGAAACCCTCAACCGGCACAACTGCTGGTGACGAAGGATTCTGTGGGGAGGAACTGCAGTCCAAGAACACCCGGGTGACCCAAAGAGGAGAACCCCTGTTTTAGGGTCTGCTGGCCCCGCTCCCAGCTGACAACGACCCAGTGTGGTAAGAGGAATCCTTTCAACTGCTGCTTGAGGCTTGGCAGAGTGAAGAGGACGCCTTAGTGGGAAAGTTGTGGGGGAACGCTTCTCCCCAAAGTTGCTAAGCTGTTGGCTGATTCTTCAGTGTAGAGAGAACTCTCCTGGATGGCGTCACAGCAGCTTCTGAGAGGAGGGAGTTACCACCATTCTTCCTCTTTCTCCTAGGTGATAGAGAGCTTGCTTCATTGCCTTTCCCTAGGCCAGTCCTAAAGGCGTGATGTAACCATTGTCCTATCTGAACTCTGTAACCTATCTGTATACTGTCCACTATCTGTGAGCTTGTAAGGTGAATAAAAGCACAGTCCTCCTGGAGGCAGGGCAGAATTCATTGGGAACCCATTCGTTGTGATTCTGCCTCTTCTACTAGTTGCCCACCAGGAGCACTGCTGGCAGACATCCCCGTGTGTGTGGCTGACTTCTTTCACCTCTATCTCTAAGAGACTCTTTGCTATCCTATTATCCATTATCTGCTGATCACCACAAAGCCTGTCAGCCTGCTAAGTTCGTGACTCCAACAGAAAGTAGTAGCAGAGGTTGCAGAGTTAAGCTCAGGTAAAGAGGCCCACCTGGTTTGGGACGGCACCATCTCTGCCTTGATACGAATCATCTCATGACCCAGGAGAACGTGGCTCCTACAGAGTAGACAGGTTTTCCGCCCTGAACAGATCAGAAACAGGAAGTGCTGCCGTGCTACTGCCTTGTTGCATTCTAGTGTTGCTTGCAGGGAAGGTTTCGGGCTTCAGGACTCAGTTGAGAAGCACGGCTCTGCCAGTTCCGCTTCAGAAGGACCACGGGGTCCTTTCACCAGTTACCTTCTGTGGCTTTCTGTTCTGTGTTGATCTTGCCGCTTCGGCTGCTTCTTCAACTTCTACTATCCTCTTCCTCTTAGGAGTCAGGATTCTTATTACAAGGAACACAGCAAATGGATGAAATCAGATTTCCACCCCCCCACCACCACAGGTGCCTCATTTTTAATCTGCTTTAAAATTCATTCCCATGGCCGGCCAAACTCTGGTCTGGAACAATCTGTGATGTGACCAGCGAGTTAGGACCAAACACAGGGAAGTTCTCCGGTGAATGTCACTTGGATCCCCCCTGGTTCTCTTCCTCCCTTGCCCACTCCGAATCATCCCATTATAGGAAACAGTTAGGAATTTACAGTAGCAGGTTTTGTGCAGAGCGAGCTCATGCCTGCTGAAAGAAAATGGATTGTCTGGGAGCAGCTGCTTGGAAAAACAATAGTTGCATCGCATTGTTTCCGGGAGTTAATTCAGGTGTACATCTGAAGACAAATCCTCTTACTGTACAAAAGCTCCTCCCGCTGGGCGACTCTCACGAGGATGGGTGTATGCCTGCCTGCCTGCAGAAGGCCTGCAGGTGAGCGTGTCGTTGCAGGAGACACAGGTCGGCCTCTTTCCAGGAAGAAGAAAGGGCAGCCACCTCTTGGAGAAGAGACATGAAGGATGTGCCGCTCCAGAACTGCATTCTGCAGATCAACAAGCGGTTACGGAAGGTATAGACCCTCAGGTCCTCCAGGCTGGCCGGCTCCTTGTCTGTCATCTCCTACTAGCTGGGGCTCCTCCTTACAAGCTGTTGTTGGTACTCATTTCCTAACACCTATCCATCTTTGGCTTTGCAGTGTAACCAGACATCCACAGATGTCTCTGTCTGGGCAGAGAAGCAGGGCAAGGGCCGAAGCCTGAGAGTTGCTTAGGGCGCAACTTACACTGTGCTGCTATTGGATTTGCAGCCTGTATTATGACTGAATTCAAAAGTCAGTGCTGACACAGAGGCTGCAGGTTGATTGGGGAGTTTAGCCTTCATACTGGATGTGGCGCCAGTTGCATTCCAGCCCAACCCCCCCATTCGTTTTATTCCTTCCATCCATCCACGATCAGCTCCTTCCTTCCTTCCTCCCTCCCTTCCTTCCTCTGGTCCTGCCTCTGCTGATCCTTTTATGGTTCACCGTGAAGCTGCTTTCTCATTTAAATCTTCAGACTATTACATTTCTCAAAGACTTTTCACCAGAAAATAACATGGAAAGGTACTTCACAGTCTGAGCATACGAATATCAAAGGTCTGAACAAAAAAAAAAACAATCCCAAATATATCATAATTTACACATCAGAATGATTCCGTAACAGGGATTTATTTATTTAATTATTTATTTATTTGATTTATATCCCACCCATCTGGTCTGGTGGATCATCCCCTTCCTCTTCCCATCCATTACTCTTTCCCTTTACTTTCAAGTAATGTGCGCAGGCATTACTTCATCTCTGGTTACAGTTTATCATGCCAATAGTTCAAACCAATATGTGACATTTTAAGCAGAAGTGGGGGCACTTATCAGACCAGTTTATTAAGTAATTAACTACACAAACAGCACCAAGCTTTTGCTTCATAACCAATGGGCCTTCCCACATGATCTGACGCTTACTGACAGGGTTCAGGACTAGCACCTGATCCCCCAAATTAACATCATGGTGCTTTGCTTTTGCATGTCCCCCTCGGCCTGCATATCACTCCCCAACTACTGTATCTACATCACTGGAACACCACCTGCTTTTACAAGAACCTATCGCAACCAAGCATGTGGTGGTGGACGGAAACCATTCAGACGGTTCCTGCTTGAAAAAGTAGAAACTCACCAGTGGCAGAAAAGGGGGGAAAAAAGACTTTGGGAGCAAAAAAGGGGCTAGTCTAATTTCTCATCAGCCTTTGTGTCATGCAGTCAGTAAAATAATAATAATAATTCCCGTTTTGTAAGGGGAGCAAATTCCATAATATTTGATCATGTAGTTGCATTTTAATGATGTATTATTTTGTTATTTTTAATTATTTTTAAAAACTGCACTTCTTTGCCATCTTTCTTCAAGTAATGGGACTCAAGGCAGTTCACGGGTCATTAAAAGAGGAAAGCATATATATATATGTATAGAAGGAGCATTAAAAGGTATTAAACATGGAAATCTTAAAATCCTTGCATAAAAACAGATTAAGAAGTATGAAAACATTTTTAAAATACATTAAAATTACAGACAGGCAGCAAGCATAAAATAACCAGCTATGTTCATATTAAATATTAATCTCTAAAAGCCTATTGGAATAGAAATGTTTTCGGTTGCTGTAGACAAGAGAAAAGAGAAGAGGGGGAGCAGGCTAGCCTTATGAGGGAGGGCTTCCCATGACCTGGGGACAATATTAAAGTATGCTGGTGCTTTAATATGAAGCAAAAATATCATGTGTAAATAATGCTGAAGATTGCTGAAGGAATTAAAATGGGAACAAGCACTTTTACTGCTGAGTGGACTTCCTTCCTTCCTTCCTTCCTTCCTTCCTTCCTTCCTTCCTTCCTTCCTTCCTTCCTTCCTTCCTTCCTTGAGTTTGGGGGAGTTTGGACCTTCCCTCCTCAGCAGAAGAGAAATTGTTTAGAAAAGTTGCAGCCCCAGACTGGTTTGAAAAACTGCATGGTTTGAAAAACTGCATTAGACTCATAGCTCAGTGGGACAGTCTCATTTTTCGCCGATTGCTTAAAAACTGCCTCTGATTCCTTTTTGAAAGAGGCTTTTCTCTCACACATCAGGGGAGGTATGAATTGTTCATAACCCATTTCTCCTGGACATCTCCTCCTTTAACACCGCGACTCAATTACGGGGAATAATTCAATACTGCCACCTAATGAAGTATGGGGTGCATTAATTCCAGAAAGAAATCTACTTTAATAGGATACATAAAACCGCAGAAGCAGTAGCAGCTCGGGAATGCTTCTGCGTCCCTGCCAAGTTTTCCATGACAGATAATTGCCCCTTCCACCTCACAAAAGAGAGAACGTTTGCTCCAATGAATGACTGGTCACAGCCCCAGATTCTTACAGCATTAATAGCTCCGGGGCTGCTGGTCTGTTATCTCTCTCCCACCAGCTGGCACCCACAGAAAGCCGCCAGGTTCGGTGGGCAAGCAGGCCTTCATGGTATGTGTCATGCCATTATTGAATTCACTGGCACAAAATGTGGGAATGGGTTTAATGGCTGCAGATTCACAGAAGATGGGTCTGTTAAAATTGGACAGCACCGCTAAGTGGAAGCTTCCTTTTCCTCGACCGTCTACCTTTGAATGTTGTCCCTACTGAGACAGGCAGGCAAGGCAGGGCTATTTCCTTCATGCCTGACTCGAGGGCTTCCAGCAAACCTTGGGATGATCCCTGTTGGATGCTGGACTCTGTGGACATGATGATGGGTCTAGAAACTAAGCTCCCCAAGGAAGGGTTGAAGGAGGTGATCACATTTCGTGAGGAAGGGATCATGGAGAAACAGTGTGTGGTCACCGCCTTCAGAAATGGAAGGAGTGTCCCATTGAAGATGGAGCGAGCTTGTTTCTTGCAGCTCTGAAGGGTAGAAGCCCAACTAAGAGATTCAAGTGATAAGAAAGAGAGATTTTGCCTAAACATTAGGAAGAGCATCTTAACGGAACTGTTGTTTGACTGTAGGATACACCGCCTCGGAAG